AAAAAAAAAAATATATAATATATATATATATATATATATATATATATATAATATTTAAAAACTTGTCTTCTATAACTAATGTGATAGAGGTAGATAGGTGATCATACTCTATTAGTATAACTTATAGGAGATACCAAAACATATTAATGAAAAGATGCGTGAAGATAATAGTCTAATTAATATTGATTTACATTTTAGATTTATGTGAAAGAGTTAATAATAAATGTATGCATCATAAACTAGTTTACTAAAGTATATCTCAATCTGGGTTAACTTATTATATCCCATATCCTTCTTTGGAATAGTTTTAAATAGATTCATAAACTATATTAAGTTTCTTTAGATATATAGGGATGGATTTAAGTTAAAGAAATTGGTCTAATCATATTTTAGGTCCAAGTTAGAAAACCATCTCATTTTTTTTATCAGCCAATGACAGAACTATATTATATATAGGTACATGGAGAATACCCTAACCATCTATACGATATCCAAGATTTTACATACCAGTCTAATAACGTTGCCATCAAATTACATATATAACATGCAAGCTACCTGCTCATTCTAATAAATCAAGAGATGATTCAAGTAAGCACTAGTAAAGCAGAGACACAACACCACTAAAACAGGACCATAATGCTACATGATAGACCTACAAACTCTTCAGGCATTCCCAAGGGTTCATTGACCACTGAAAGAAGGAAGATGAAAAACCTTTTACTTTCGCCGTTAACCATGGTCTAAATTTAATCAAGTCAAAGACATACCCACCATATATAAGGTGTGACATTGTTAGAAATGACAGCATTCCTGTATAACCATATACACCATATAGAAAAACCATCTCATGATCATTCCCTGTTGAATGCTATAAAAATCCTAATGACATTTATTTTACGAATAATTTAATCAACACGCATTATATGGTTTATTAAATTTTGAGAAAATATTTTATGAAATATAGTAATAAAAGATAAATTAATTCATAAATAATGATGATAATTAAATAGAGTGAATTCGGAAAAAAAAAATTAAAATAAGAATGTTCCTAGACATTAAAACTTCTATATCATAATTGTCAAAATATGCAAATTAGATCGACAAACTTGACAATATTTAATTATCGTGGACTCAAGAATTAAAAAAAAAAAGTTTAGTTGATTAATACTTTAAATCCTCTTTTATTTTATTTTTTTCATCAAACAAAAAAAATTGAATTTAAAAATAAATAAATAAGGAATTTAACTAATGTAATCTTTATACTATTGGCAAAATTTAAATGATATTTCAATGTTTTCCTAATTTCATTAACGACCAAGTTTTAATTTTTTTTAATTTTTTATGTTGGTGGCATCCAAAATAAAAGTAACAGTCACAAACTAAATTATAAGATGGAGTTCATCGGAAATCCTCTAAGGTTTGCTAACACAGTTGGTTGAAGTTCTGGTATGTTTTTCTTTACTTGCCAAGAAATAAAAGATAAAAATATAAATAATAATAATAATAATAATAATAATAATAATAATAAAATAATTAAAAAAAGTTAGGGCCTGCCCAGTAGTCTATTGGCCATTGCCTTTATATTGTTGTGTTGGCCTGTTGGGTTTGGTTATCAAATACTGCCACTTGGTAATTCTGGCATAAGTGTCGAGATTTGATTATAGACCAATGTACTGAGTCTATGTTCTGAAGAGGAAAGCTATGGAGTTGGTTGGATGTTTATTACTTGTATGGTTGTGATAGCATGCCATTGCTGTAATATAACGGGGTGATATGGGTGCCCTGTCATGTGTACTCTAACCCTTAATACTTTGTTTGGATAATGACAAAATTATAGCAGAAAAAAGTAGGATTAAAAAAAGAGAAATAAGTAGAAAATAAATAGTTTTAGAATGTTGAAATTAAAATAAGAGAAGTAAAACAAAATTAGTAAAAAAATTATTTCAAATGGGTCCCACAAATTTTATGAACTTTTTACAAAATCTTTACATTCATGAAGAATTTTTTTTTTTTTTTTACTATGGACCTCATTATCTTTTTTCGGTCTCTCACTTCTCTCCTCTTAAAAACAATTAAAAAGTCTATTTTCACTTCCACTTTCTCGCATACTTAAAAATCTCTTGAAACAAACAATAGGTAAAAGCTAGTACAGATTTGACCCATCTCATCCAAATCTAAAATTAGATTCATAAATGTATTGATAAAATTCACTTTTGCCATACTTTTTTTTTTGTCAAATTTTATCATATTTAATAATAAAGAATGCAATAAATGAAAACATATAGTAATTATTAGATTGTTTTAACTATATAATTAATCTAATTATCAAGCAATCAAGTAGATTTATAATTTTTTCTAGAGCAATCAACTTAATCTGTTTATATAAGAAAATAATAAACAATACATATTACAATGTATACATTTTTATACCAAATCACATGAAATTGAAATATTTTATAAACTATCGTCACTATTTAATAAAACTAAATGACTATTTGTTTTTAGGATTTTTTATTCGTCAATCGAATTCTTCTGATTCAAAAACCTTTCTTGCTTGTTTCAGCACTTCATTCATAGACAGGAGTTCTGTACAGCGGTTAAGTTTTGACAAATCCTGCAGTACATAATTATATATTATAGATATTAGACAAACAACAAAAGATTATCATGAAACGACAAACAAATATTATGTTGTAGTGTAATCTTGTTGTTTTAAGGTAGATGTTATGAACTTATGACAGCCTAATGCCATGTTGGCTCAAGATTTTCCCTGTAAAGACTACAACATTTCAGATTTTTTTGCCTGAGCTGCATCTAGGCTTGTAAGACAATTCCAGATTTCTTATGTGACTTTGATAATTAACAAAAAGATTATCATGTACTTGCAATTAAATATGACGGTAGTGAGATCATGTTTAAAAGGTAGATGACATGAACTTATGACAGCATAATGCCATGCTAGCTCATGATCTTGTCAATGAAGGCTACAACATTTCAGGGTTTTTTTTCTGAACCAAGTCTAGGCTTGCAAGACAACTTAAAATTTCTTAACTGCTATATCCGGGATAAGACCATCCAGAAGTTTGTTGGGTAATCAGTTCTCCGTACCAACCACCAAAGCAGTGGATTCATTTTTTTCTTCACTTTTTGAACAAAAGATTATGAGTTAGTCTTCATTAGCTTCTCATAATATCATGGTACATTTGCTCAACTTAAACAATGGTGCGGTAATGTTAATGTAGGAAGGGTTTCTGCCAATGCTTATACCTTTGGGGAACCAAACTAACCTCTGCTAGTGTCAGTAGGGTGCTACTTGCCTACTTCTACAATCTATGGTACTTACTGAGTACCGACATTTAATTTGTTCGCAATACTTAATGTTAATGATCATTAAGACACTGATAACTCGGCCTAAATTTTGATCCATGGAGATCTAATGCTAATGATTGATGCTACAAAAACCAAAGAGGAAGTCTAGAGAAAAGCGGAATATAAAGAACATAATTATTTATGCATTATGCATGAGTGGTTCTCCGTTCCCTGCAGACTCAGGGTCAAATAATAGTACCTCAGTCCCTAGTATTAAAATGAGGGTGCAAGTACTAAATAGTCACCGAAATATTCTTCAGATTCCTTGGCTGGTGAAGGTAATAGAATGCTAATAGTGATAATATTGATTGCTAGAATGCAAATCTGATTCCAAATCAACTAGGAAATAAACACTTATAAAAAGATGGGTCAATACTGTTCTAAATATTTAAGTGTTAAAGAGGAATTTTCCTTTAGCTTGCGCTGGATTCCTCTTTAATTCATTTATTCAGTTGTGTTTTCTCTTCCAATACATAATATTGGTTCTATATTTACTAAAAGGATGGACTATATGAAAAGAGATGCAGAGGAATTCAAGGTTCCCCAATAATTATTAATCTTGGTAATAATTATTGAGAATAAAAATGTACCTTGCGAATCAAATAGAGGAAATCCTCCACTGATAGCTTCCCCCTCTGAGATCCAATATCTTGGGCTTTATGTACCTTTGCAGAGAAAATTAGCATGAGGACAACAAAGCTAACTAACTAGTCAAACTGAGCTGAAGAACTAAAGGGTTAGGAGTCTTACCAATTCTGTGACATATTCCACAGCAATGTCCTCCATAAGTGCCACACTTTCAGGAAGTGGCTAATTACAGTGGCAAACAAGAATAAAAGTTCAAGTTAATAGACATTGCTCTTTAAAATTTACATGAAAAGAAGATGTATAGAATGATAACACTAGAGACTTACATTAGGGTCATCTCCAAAGCCATACATCATGTGCTGCACTATAGCAACCAAAGGAGACTGATAAGAAAGTAGGGTTAAATGTTGAAAATTATGAAGAAAAAAGCTTACATTCTTTTTGGAAAACTCCTCTTTTGCGCTTGGATGAAGTTTCTGATGGTTGCGAGGAAGCTGCCCTCGGTTTTGATGATGTTCCAGTTCCAGAGGAGGAATTGCTCATTGCAATTACCCAATGCTTGCACAGTGAGGGTTCTGCTCAGCACACAAAATGAAAAGAATTAGAGAACCACAGCCAGTGTTATTAAAATCGGAGATAGGATCGTTGGGAGGTAGGATCGTAGCAAAATCGCGATTTTTCTCGTAAAAACGTATAATCGTGGATTCCCAACGATGTTGAAAAACCTGAAAAATAATTCCCCCAATTGAGAATCACTCATTGGCCACACAACCCTATTTCGGTATTTCCTTTTCCATTTGTGACCTCTTTGCTTCCATTGAAGCAGCTGGTTATCAAAGTTGCACTGTCACCACTAACTTGCCTCCAGAGACCATACCGAGTTGTGTTCCGCATGAAGTCATAGAGATAAATTTAAGAAAGGATTTGGGTTTAGGGAATTGGCCCATGAGCTTTCAGTTTTTTTTTTTTATGGTTAGGCTTTTTCTTGAAATAAGTTTAACTTCTTTTAGTTGTTTTTAAAATCTTTATCTTTATTATAATAAAAGAAAGGAAGTTTGTAACTCATTTTTCTCTCAAAATAAGGATATTTATATAACTTTATCTTATCATAATTATTCTGAATTTTATTTTTTTAATTTAATAAATTCTAAACTTGTAGTACTTCTGAATAGAAGAAAAACTCTTTCTCTTTCTTTTTACTTTATACGTTTCCCATCAAATTGCTTTCACTTTATCTTCTAGAGGAATTATGGATATTTATTTCTTATGCATTGATTATAGTTTTTTAATGTCAATTGATAATTCTTATTAACAAAGAAACATTGCACGAGATCTGAACCCAATCATATAATACCATAAACCCTTCCTCTTCCTCTTATTCTCTGCTTCATAGGTTTTTCATTAAATTGTTTGCGCACTTTGTCTTTCACTCAGAGAAGCAATTATGGATATTTATTTCCTATGTATTGGTTGCAGTTTTTCAATACCAATTGATCTCAACTATCTTCTCATTTTTAAGGCATTTTTCTTTTCAAAACTTCATTCTGATTGTCTTATTCCATCATAGTCTCTATTTCTAAAAATACTCTCTCCATATATACATTGTCCACTTTCTGATTTGGGTACTTTTGAATTTTTAATATGAGGATTCACACTTTCTCTATCAATCATAAGAAAACCATTTTTAGGTAAGTCTGTATGAAGTTTTAATTTTAAAGGTTGGTTGTTTCAATGTTGATGTATAGTGAACATATTATTAAAAGTTTTTTTTTTATACTTTTATCTTCTTTTTAGAGGACATGACTCAGAGATTTACATTACTAAAAGATATTGCAGCAGAGAAAATTGATTGGAAGATAAGAGTTTGTATAATAAGATTGTGGAGGCTGCTAGAGTTTAAGAAACTACTGTAAACAAATTTCTTGGAGATGATTTTGGTGGATGAAGAGGTTTTTTTTTCTTCATAAATTATAACAATTATAAATTTCATTATTGGATAGTGTAGTTTTTTGTTCTTGCTTCTGTTTGAAATTTTTATCTTCACTAAAAAATTATGATTAGTAAGAACATTGTTTTCAAAATCAATTACAATGAGTCAATGATTTTAGTAAAGACATTGATAAACTTTTTTGCACGTATATTATTTTTTTAGAAGCTAATGTATTTTTTCCCTTTATTCTTTTAATTATTTTTACCTATTAATAATAACCTTATTTTAAAATAAATGAAATTAGTTTGATTCAAATAATAACCCTTTGTAAATATATTTCTTTAATTCTTTATTTTTTATTCATATTAATATATTAGCTTTTACTTAATACTCTTTCCTTAATAATTATTATTTCTGGATTATATTCTTGCATTTTTAATTGATAAAATCCTATTTAGTCTTACTAGATTTTTTCCAATTTGACTTTTCTATCTTGCTGCCAAATCATTACATGACCTAAAGTTCAATTTTTTCTTCTGATAGTATTGTTTTAACCTAAATAAAAAATATTTATACATAAGTTGAAGCATTTTTTAACTTGATTGTATATTAAATAGATATTAGTCTTTCCTTAATATGTTTTTTAAGTTCATTATTATTACTATTAATTAAGTAGATCGATATTACAAGGTTTTAAAATTAAATAATTCTTATTTCCTTTTCATTTCAAATTTCTTAATATATTTTTTAGTCGATTGACATAATTTTATTCTTTTTAGTTGATTTATATATTACTCTTTGCTGAGACTTGAGTTAACACTGATCACATACAATTATTAATGACCTTAGTGTAATTGCAAATTTACTGATTTGATTCAATTAAGATATGAAATAATATTTTTAATCAATTTTTTTTATTAAAATACAACATGACTACTTTTTAGAAGCTAATGTATTTTTTCCCTCTATTCTTTTAATTCTTTTTACCTATTATAATTCAAATAATAACCTTATTTTAAAATAAATGAAATTAGTCTGATCCAAATCTTTCAAATTTTTTTCTTTTTTTACCAAATCTTACAACTCAATATCTTTTTAAAAAAAGACTTACCGTCACTTTTGTATGTACAAATCATTTGTTTAAGGCTAATTACTTGTTCCATTATCTTCTCAAACATTAGACAAGATCATAAGGATTAATCAGTAAATCTACCAAACGAGACACAAACAAAAAATAACAAATTTCTAACATCCTCATAGAATTTGGGAAATTGTGTATCGAATACAGACCACACACTGTTTTTTTTATACTTACATGAGTTGGGTAAGGTAATAAATGCTAAAAGTGAGGAGAGAGGAGATAATAGTAAGGAAATTGAAAGAGGAGGGAAGAGAATAATGTAAAACTAAAAAAATTAAAACTACCTACCAAAATAAGTAGGGTGAAAAAAAGGTAAGAAGGTATATGTGAAAATTGAAAAAAGGAGAGAAGATGTGTGAAAAAAAAGAGTACTAAATTAAATGTTATGGATGTAAAATAAAAAAATTAAGAATATTTTAAAAATTTAATTATTTTTTTTATAAAAAAAAGTGTACTTATAAAAAAAACGAAGTGTATATATCATGAACCATCTGACTTTGTACCCAAACAAAGCCCAATAACCTAGTTAAATTAGAATGACCCGGAATGGGCCGAGTCAGCGCATCAGGCGACCTCCATTTGCTTCTGCTCATATTCTCTGCTACAAAACTTGGGGGGAGTGGAGGCTGAAACTAATCTTGAAAACACAAAAGGCCAATAAGAGAATTTTTACTACTTTACATCTACAGATTTTTGCGCCGGCTAGAGTTTACCTTAGTAAATTACTTCCACTCGTCGGTCGACCTTTGAATGCTAGATAGCTGATTTTGTAAACTATAAGACACATTTCAGCGATTGAATTTCTGATCATTATGAACTATTTATCCGGCTACGGCATAGAATCACAAGTCACAACTAAAAGGATTACTTTACTCATAAAACATGATAATAAAACATGACAAGAGAGTTATACCTCCTATAATTATACAAAAAAATTATGGACTATTTATTTACAAGCACACTTTTTAGAACTTACACAAAATATAAAACCAAATATTTGGGCAAACATCGACTAAATGTAAATAAGTTTATAAATACCCTGTCAGATATCTTAAATCCAAACTGGAGTTCTAGACAGGTGGACTTAAGTATTTTATTAAGGACACGAGGACATCAGTGGTAGTAACCCTCTCTGCTTGTACGCAATATAACCCAAAACAGAACAATCGAAATTGCATACAAAAACTCGACGCATCAACTTCCTATTCGCATCCCCTAGGTATTTCGTTTTTGCCAAAAGAAACGGCGGAAACAAATAATTGAAGAAAGATGGGAAGGAACTGAATGAACACAGCAAAGGAAGCTAACAAAAGCCTAACATTGGAATTCTAGAACCCTGTCCTCACTGCTTCCAAGAATCAACTAATAAAATGACCTTGAGTGATACATGTTAGCTATCAAATGCCTCAGTGCAGCACCAATAACCCCCAATGATACAAAAAGCAGTTACTTAGATTTCTTTTGTATTTCAGAAACTCTTTGGCCCATAATTTTACAAACAGCTTCGTCTTTTGACTGAAGTAGTTTTAAAGCAGGATGAACATTGAGATCTCCCATGACTAACTTCTGGCCGACGTCCAACTCACTTAAATCCACATCAATATACGGGGGAATAATGTCAGCAGGGCATAAGTACTTGACAGTCCTTTTGATGGTATTCAAAGCAGCACCTGCCAAATTTGTACGGTGATGAATAATACTCAACAAAGTAAAACATTATGCACACAAACAACGAGAAAAACAAAATGTTGTGTGATGAAATTATTTTCATAATGTTGAGGCATTAATATCCATACATACAGGCAGCACAATTGAAATCAGTTAGAAAAATAGGCGCCAGGAAAAAGACAAAAAATGTTGAATAATGAGTTAATAACCAATCACTTTGCACCATCAAATATAAGCATACACAAAATAACTCCATTGCGTATTAGCTTTAATAGAACCTTGAATCATTCGACAAACTGACCTTCTAACCTTCTAATAATAACTCACATCAGGCACTTCAATAAGACAACATGCTAATTTGTTTGTTAAATCTACAAGTTAGACAAGTACATTGTTAAGTTTCCAAATCATATTCTCAACCAGCCTGTCTTCTAAATCTTCTGTCCTTGTAATAATAACTATCACCTCAGGAATTTCAACAAAGACAATACACTAATTCACTATACAAATTTACAAGTCAGACAAATATCCTGTGAGTTGCCAAACCATATTCTCAACCATAGTCTTTCCAATGCAGATCGACCTTCTAAAATTTGCAATAAATGCTTATAATTGCCCAGAGGATCCACATTGTTCTTAAACTGAGTGAGTAAACATTTATACAAGCACTCATCAGCTGGGACTACTAGGAAGTAACAGCAGATCAGTTTGCTTTAGAAACAACAGCTAATTAACAGGTCATTATTGGACAAAAAGGAAATCAAGGAAAACAGGAACAAAAACTAAACCAAAGAATTATTGGACATCTCTAGCAGTGTTACTCAAAATAAACTTGTTCATAGTTGAAATTGTGATAGAAAAACGTATACTAGTGCTCAAGGTCTCATAGTCTATTACAAAAAACTGCATATTTTAAAATACCAAATGGCAATATCATTAGTATAAGCAACTTGCAGTCAGGTTACAATAGTACATACCTACCATAGATAACAAAATAAGATAAAGAGCATCCATTTTACCTTTACATGAATGTTATACAGGAAAAACTTGAATGGCTTATTAAATCAATAGTAGTAAGGTTACTTGATACCTAGTGACCTTGGTAGTTATGGTGTCACATAAACAGCTTCTCCACTCAGACCTTACAATGGTGGGAGCCTCATGCACTAGATCATCCCCCTATCTATTTAGCCTTTTCACCTAGTTAATAAAACGCAAGGTCTTAGACCTATTTATATCTACCAAATACCAATTATCATCGTCAAAATGATTATCAATATTCCGTAGCACTTAGCATGACTTTGGTATGGAGACAGAGATCAAAACTCAATTCTTACATAAAAACAAAATCCATCGCATTCACAACTTAGCATGAAACTTACGAGCATTAAATTGAACATATCCAGACCTGTAGGTTACACCAGGCCCAGCCAAATTGATAGAATTTTCCGATGATAATTGAGTGAAGAAATATCTTACAAAACTTTAATCTCAAGCTTCTCTCCTTGCCCCCAATTCAAACAGAATATTTACAAATACATTCCCACACCAAAAAAGTTTATAGAAATCAAGAAGAGATGGTGTAACGCAGTAAGTGAATATCATAAAATTATGCCATGCTTACTGCTTAGATAAACATCGGCATAAACACTTATAAGAGAAAAATTAAAAAGGTAGAATAATTGAGATTTTCTCATATGTTAAACTCAACTTATGTACCTCATCAGAAATTTTTAAGTGCATAAGTTGATTTTAACCTACAAGAGAGTTCAATTTTCATTTTACATTTTTTTATTTTATATTCTTCTGTAAAAAAAATCGTCGAAACATTCCTTACTTAACAAAGAAAATTACATCGCAACGATGACAGTGCATACCTTTCTTGAGTCCAGGCGACACATCTTCTCCTCTGAAGACGAGAGGAACCTCGACTTTCAACAAAGCATGCGACGGAGCCCTAATAAACGTCACATTCAACGGCGCGTCCGAACCAGCTTTCAAATGAACCTGCGAAACGAGAGAGGATTTTCAAAAGTTGAACACGCTTCGCATCATCATCAAATACAGAGAGAGAGAGAGGTAACCTTGCGCGGCAAAACGCGAACGCTCTCGACGACGTCGTCGGAGTCGAACTGCGGGCGTACTTCGAGGTGGAAGAGGCGGGAGAGGAAGAAGGAGCGGCCGAGGTGGCTGACGAGCTTCCTGATCTGGTCGGTGCGGACGGAGATGAGGCGCTTGTTGCCGCCGTGCTGGCCGTCCTCCTGCTCGAACACGATGCTCGGCACGCGGCCGGCGCGGCGCTCCTTCGCCGAGATGTTTTTGCCGGAGTCGGCGCGGGGGACGGCGAGGATCGTCTCGTCGTACTTGGGATCCGGCCGGGGAAAGCCGTCAAGGTAGGTATGCTCCGGCTCCGGGGGGTGGAGGAGGAGGGCGGCGGAGTGGGAGAAGTGGCGGCGGTGCGGGGAGAGTCCGGTGAGGATGCGGCGGGGGAGATACATGGTTAAGGGAAAGGCAGAAGAAGAGTTAAGAAGGGTTTTGTTTTGGTTTGATACTTGGTCACTACCACCTAAACAAAATGAAGTTCTACACGTGACATGCACGTGATCTCCACTATAATACATTTTTTTCTTTCTTTCTGAATTCTCCCCTACAATACTTGTACTAATGTTTGTTGATAAAATAAAACAAAAATGCATCAGACTCTCGTAAGATGGATTCACTCATTAAAGGAATAGAGGGAAACAGGTTGATCCATCAAAATAAATAATAAGTTAACACCTTAATCTATTTTAGTGAGTTTATAAGTTAAAAATTATAAGTTGGTAAGTTGATTCAATTTCAATTTATCAATTTTTTTTTTAAAAAAATCTCATTTAAAATTTTTAATTTATATTATCACTTCAATCTATAATTTTATTATTTTTTGTAAAATTAATTAAAGGTGTTATACTTTTTCACACAAAATATATTTTTTTATTAAAATAAGCGTTATACTTGAAGATACTAATAAAAACATTGATTAAATAATATACGTCTATTTCTTATAAAAAGAATAATTATTTACAATAAAAGTTAAGTTATAAAATAAAAATATTGATTTAACACAAATATACTATAAATTTATCTTTTTAAAGCATAAAGTAAAAAAAAAAAAAACAAAAAACAAAAAGTGGGTTGATAATTAACTCACTAGATTGGCGGGTTAACCCATCGAGTTGGTAGGTTGACTAAGTTGATGGATTTATTTGTCTAATCCAACCTATCAAAAATAGGTAGATTGATGGGTTGTCTACTAAATTTAACCCATATTATCATTCATATACTATGTTAGGCATTCCCTTTAATATATATTTTAGTAAAATGATTTAAATTTGCATCATGGTATGTGGGTCATGTGCAACTTAATTTTTGAATTTTAAATATATATATTTTGACCGTACATTTTTTTAATAAAAATATCATATGTATAATTTTTTTCAAAAATATTTTTAGGAGACTGGAGTCATCTATCTCACTTCTCTATATCCTAGTAAAAGAATAATTAGAAAATTGATAAATTGGAAAATAAAATATTATTTGTTTTACTACAAGAAAAAAAAAGTTCAATAATTAAAAAAAAATAGAAGTTAAAGTTTTGAAATAAAATGAAAGGAAAAACAAGTAGAGTGAAAAAGACAATGTGAGTAAAGATAACTTAGGAATGAATGAATCATGTTTCAACCACTGGTGGATTATCTTAAACATTTTTAAAATAGTGATAATTTAAATACAAATTTTCTAAAAATAAGTGACTAAATTGCACATGACTCACAATTGTAGTGTTAATCTACATGGTTTTTAAAGGAATTTAGGGAGAAGTGTAATCATGCGGCACTCATTTGAATCTATCAAATTTTAATAGACAAATTGATAGAGGAGTTGTTTTGTGCATATTAAAATGAGGAGGGTTCAAACGACACCGGTGTAACTTTTACTAAGTGTTACACCGTTCAATAACTTTATATTAAATGTGAATTTTATAAATAAAATAGTTAGATTGAAAGTTAATATAAATTTATATGTGTATGTAAAATTTTATTAAAATTGAACAACAACTTTAGGGTAATCAAAGTGTTTATATTTTAGTATATTTTAAAATAAATATATTACGTCAATTTTGTTTTATAAGAATGAAGTATTAAATCATCTTGGATTACTATAAAATTTTGTATATATGATCTAAGAGTAAAGAACTTTCAATCTAACGGTTAGATTTACAAAATTCACATTTAATATAAAGTTATTGAGCGGTGTAACACTTAGTAAAAGTTACACCGGTGTCATTTGAACCCTTCTCTATTAAAATTATCAAGAGTTGAAATAATTTTTTTAAAGATCAACAGTGAAGTTTTTTATTGTCTTTAGATTTGTAAAAGAATTTTTGGCAAACTTGCTATGCGATTGGGATCTTTTCTTACTAGACTTGTGATGTGAGGTGGGAAACCCTTTTTTGGATTGATTTAAAATTAATACAAATGTCTATTTGAAATAAACAAAATCATGTGCTATTGTAATTAGGAATGTTGATGGTGGTTGGGTTTTAGGATTTGGGAAGAACTTAGGATACTCAAATGTCCTTATGGCAAAGATGCGAGCTTTACTTTTTACTCTCGATGTGACTAATTCTAACACCATGATCATAAAGTTCCAGAAAGTTCATATTTCTTGCTTGCATGACCCGCTAGGAGATTTACAATAAGGCTAAATGAAATGTGGCATGATTACGGCAAGTTCCAGAAAGTTCATATTCCTTACTCGCATGGCCCGTTGAGAGTATTATAGAGATAGACATCAGAGAACAACATAATCAGTTTCTATCACCATTGATCTTTTTTGTTGTATTAAATTTTAATAAATTTATTTAGTTATATTTATAATGTTAATATTCAATAAATTTAATTATTTGATGTTAGTTTCGGAGTTATGGTATTTGATAAGTGAAAATCGAATAAAAAAAAATTATTTATAGGCTAGAAAGGCCCTTTTTGGTTCCACTTTTTATGTGCTAATTTTGAATCCAGAACGGCCCATTCTGATCCATTCGTCATATGTTATTTTTTAATCTAGAAGGACCCGTTCTAAAATCAGAACGACCCGTTCTGAACGTGAACAGTAAACTGTGCTAGTTGGAGAAATAAATTTGCACGGTTGTTATTTGGGTAAATTTTTTTAAAAAAATAGTATTATTTGAGTAAAAGAACTCTAATATAAATTAAAAAAAATAATTTTAGTTGGAGTGATTTCATGGCGCAAGTGCCATCTTTCGAAGCACATGGGAAGCATCATCTGCGTCAAGTCGTTGCCAAGGAGTAATCAAATTAAATTATATATAGAGTTAATCATCCATACACTACCAGTGTAAAGTTTTTTACACTAGTAACCAATCATATCTTTTAAATTATTTTATTTTATTTTTATTTCATTAAATGAGCACCTGACATGGCACTATTAAGATATATGATTGGTTGTCAGTATAAAAAACTTTACACTGACAGTGTATAGGTGATTAACTCTTATATATATATATATATTTATAATACATTGAACATCATTACAAATATAGACATGAGAAACTGAACCACGTTAAATAAATTATAATTTTTTTTATTTGTTTATAACCTTGACTTATTTGTGCTTTCATTCTTTTATGTAAAAAAAAGTTTTTTGTTTTCTGTTCCGAGCACTAAGAAATTTAACCCAGTTGATTGAACAATATGTAAATTGATATAAGCTTTCGGTTCAATCGGTAATTAAAAAAAAAAAAAAA